TCTTACCTCACTCCACACCACAGTGCCACTTCCTTTGCCTTCATACTCTTGAGTATCTGAAGTTCACGAATGATTGATGATAGGTTCTAAAGCTTTATCCGAAAGCCCACAGAATAATGATGCTAATAACCGCGAATCTGAAGGATTTCCCACGAGATCTTTACTAGAGGTGTCACAAGTTTCATTAGCCTTACCTACTGGTATAGCTGGAACATTTTTATCAGGTATAAGCACTCTATATCCCGGATCCAAACTTTGTGGTTATCTAGCCATTGCCAAAAAGAAGGTCCTCGAGAGAGAAAAGAGTCATATAACAGTGACAGTATGTCGGTTGGCTGAACACTTTGAAGCTGAATCTCGTCTAATAACTTTCACAAACTAAGTGATGTGTAAGGAAATAGTCGATATTTTATCTGATTATCATACAATTATTGGAGTGATTAAGTCAAGGAGTATGAGATCTGCAAGGCTTTTAGCACTAAAGAAGGAAATAAGAAATTGGTACAAAATTTGCAGTGCATATAGAAAACTCGAAAGATGTAGGCGTAGAAGGGACAACACTACTAAAGTGAATATTATGTAAATCGATTTGTGATTTGAATTGGGGTAATCTAACTCAGAGTAGAGAATGATCGATTCTTGTAACAAAATAATGAATTCGTTTTTCAAACATTGCTGGGAAGTTTCTGACAAACTGAGCCTACTATCAGCATCTTAAGAAGGACTCCGTTTCAGGGACTTAGTATATAATTACCAAGCCGATGAATAAATATACTTTGTGGACAATAAAGGTGACGTGTAAATTCAATTAGCTAATATATTCATAGTTTCTCACCTCATATATCTATTCTTAGAGTGCAGTACCAAAAAATAAAAATGATTAACTTCTTATTTTAGCGAAGTTTGATATGGGTCGGTGATAAAACAATTATTCTTGCAAAATTATAAACCCTCTTAAAATTTATAACAGAAAATACTAATTTTAAACTTAATGCACTGCTCTTAACTAAATACAAATTACTTTCGACAAAATTGATAGCACTTGTACACGATTTCAATTACGTCTGTCTAAACGGAGGAAACCGTAAGGAGAAGGTAAGTTACAATAATTAATTAAATAAAAACATTAAAGAGATAAAGCGAAGGGTATGGATTGGTAACTGTAATAGAGGACATTTCTTATTCCGTGACATCCAAATGTTTATTGCTCGCTGAAATATAATTACTTCTGAAAGAAACTCGTATTTTAGAATCGTATAAAAATGCATTTGTTGAAAAGCAAAGTTACATCTGCACCTTTTTATTTACATAAAACATAACTAAAGAACCAAACGTAAAAAATGTAGTGGAATTTGTACAGGAAATTCATTTGCTTTTTAAATTTATAGGTTATATTTTTAAAGATGTGTTGAGACATGTTCTGTAATGGAGTGAAATGAATAGACCTGTAAAATGCGATAATAAAATTCGTGTGTAAGCATCCGAGTCGGAAGGGAAATTTCAACTAAACTCTGTTCTGCATGCTTAGTAAGTGTGATATGCAAATCACTCTGACTGGCTAACTGATGCATTACCATTAACCATGAATTTTATAAAATATTTATATTGAACTTTCTGGTCATCCGAATGGATGATTATATATTTTATTCCCAATTCGTTAGGCGTTGTGCCCACAGGGTTCGAACTGATTATAAAACTATACATTTTGTTTTAATATCTTATTTGCTGTATACATTTTTCTTCATTTGTTTCTGGCCCTTTGTTCAGAAACATGGCTGTATAATACCATGGGCAAACCCATAAATTCCGGAGCATTTAAACAAGTGAGAATCCTGTAGCATATAAGGCTCCTTTGTGATGTGAATAAAACATGTACATGTAATTCGCTATGCCCTGTAACATTCTGGCTATGTGTTGACTTATCGGAAGAACACAATGCCCCTATTTTCATCCCCGAATATAGAGGCTCTACATTCATCCGCAACACTGTGACATAGACAGAATACTACACGGCAGAGCAACACTGAAGAAAACCGTGTGTGTTTCAGATTACTCATTTACTCTTGACACAAACTTTTCATCTGAACACTTTAATTGTTCACCATAACGATAAGAGGCATGGGATGCAACGACTCTTTACTGATAATTTTAAGTAGGTTATTTGTTACATTTTCAATTGTGTAAAGATAATTGTCTTCTGAGATGTTGCACCATGCAGTCTGCTAGAAGTTTACCGACGTTTTCTAACGTTCTTCCTGTCTCTAAAACGTTGGTAAATTTTCTTCACCACGCTACATCTAAGAAAGCAGCCATCATCATCCTCGCCAACATGGAGATCTGAAATATCACCTTTTAAATTGTACGTGCTAACGGTATTTCAGTTCCGGCACTATAATGCAGGAAAGCTCATAATTTATTGCAGTTTTCTCAACCGGTGGGCCGCGAGATTTTGTCAAGTGCCACGCATGAATTCGGATAGAACAATTTCAATAAATATTAAAAATCAAAATATTAAATAATTTTAATATTACATTATTAGTTTATCCGTAATTGAAAATATTTTAATAATTAGTTAAAGCATAAACTTACATTAATTAGTGGCAATGGTAGTAACAATGTAATTTTTATGGTAGTGTTACATCAGTGGGTATGTATGTTCCTCACCTAACTCCTTACCGTAAATGAATTCGTATGGACTTCGTTTATCGACAAAATCCGCTACGATCATAAAGAATCTAAGTTTGTATGAGCAATATTTTGGGTCGCTCAATTTTACTAAAGTTGTGTCATCTGTTGGAATAATTTTCGCCGAAAACAATAATAATTACGAATAGTGCCCTTAAAATAAGGAGATTAGTTACAAGAAACATTAAAACAAAAACTTGCTTAGAAATTGGTGTATTCCGATAAATGTTAGATCCATTTTGAGATTCTATTTTGCAGAAAGAAAACTGTACCGCGAGGATCTAAAGGTCAAGTACCACTGATTTAAATGCGCCGTACCTATTAACTCCTCGAAGAGAAAGGCAAAGTTATAATAAACCGAACATAAATTACCGTATTTCCTACAATTTAAGACGCCATTGATTTGAGTAAATAATATATGTTTAGGGAAAAAACAATATACCCATTCTTAGACGCCATCTAATGGAAGACGCACCCACGCCATCAAATGGAAGAACCAAGCTGATTTCAGGAATTTTAAAATAAGTAAAGTGCGTACTAAAATCTAGGAAATATGTAAATATTGTATTAGGGAATTAAATTAACGAAGAGCAAGTTTGGTGGATTACTAACCAAGCGTGGAAGATATTCGAAATGCATTAAAATTTATAGTCGTCTTTGTGCGTTCTTGCCTGTCAAATGTTTGTTTCCACTTTGTTGCACCAAAACAAACTAACTACAATTATTTTAACAACTGTAACAAGTGTAGTATATAATACGGTTCGGGTTTACTGACGATTTCTACTTGTATTCAACTTTGGCAAATGAATATTCATTGGTGTTGTTAAAATTCAATTCTGCGTGTAATAAATTATTCGTATAACGAATTTAATGCGCTTGAACAAATGTAATGTTCACTTGGACGCAACAATTAACTGGTTAACTAACATATCATTGTTGCAGGTAATCGCTGAACTCAAGTTTCGGAGAAATGGTTTAGAAAATGAGAATCATTTTTGTTAAACGCAATGCATTCTCTTCTAGTTTGGGTTTGTAAACGCATTTAACCACATTCATTCAATCATTTTGATACTCAAGGCCAAAGTAACTTCATTTTAATAGATCGAAGGTGTTTTCCCAGAGCATAAATTACATATTGTGTGTGTAACGACGTGGAATGATTTAAGTACTTAAATTGTGTTGGATATTAGAGTTATCATTTTCAAACCAAATTATGTCTCTGAGTTGTCGAAGTATATTGTGGAAACCGAGATACGACGTTGATGACATATTAGTCTGAAGACAGATATCTTCAGACTTACCTCCGTAAAAACCTAAAAACCTATGTAATATATTCGTTCAATTATATGTCGGGCAGCCCGTTACTTTACATGCTTCAGATCCCAAACCGTTTAACGGATTTGGTAAAATTTAGCACTAAAATAAATTAAAATTGTTCAGCGAAATTTACTTGAGCTAGATTGGCCTATTCTTCTTCTTATAATTATTATTACTTACTGGGCCACCTAAGAGGCTCCATACCTTGACAAATTGATAGACAATGTCGGACACTGCCGCAGTTATTTTTGTGAAAACGTCAATCGTGTGTAGTATATTGAAATTAAACAAACATTTTGTTTTGAATCGTTTAATTCAATTGCAACTTACATTTATTGAATACAGGGTAGTGGTATGAGAAGTAGGATACATATGGCTTTGAAATTATTTGAATAACTCTTGCAAATGTTAAATCTACAGAAGCTTTCCCTTGCGTGGTTCGTTTGTCCACATCATTCACTAGTTCAAGTTTAAAGAATTTCTGAAGGTATGCACGTAAGAGTTCCAAATTTTCGTCACATTTTTATAAATGATTATTTCGTAATTGGTACACATCCATACTTGACCCAGGCTCGTCAGATGCCGCCTGAGTTGTCCGAGCGCGCTTACGTTGCCTATATTCGCGGCAGTACTGCGCATTGGTTTTGGGTCCGGGCCCGACGTTTTCGGTATCATTCTCTTTGGAATTTTGTGCTCTACGCATTCGT